GCACACAGGGCTCTCCAGCTGCTGATGTTTAGTTTGAATACATCCCCAGTGTGAATACACCCCCATTAGAACAGTGGCATGGCCCCTCTGGTTCCTGTCCTGCTGGTTTTACAAAACCTGAATCTGGGAGGTGAAGGAGCTGCTGCTCAAACACACAGGCCAGGATTCCTCAAATTTGCATGTCATCCTGACCCCTGCAGTGTAGGGATGCCAGTATTAAATATTCCTGCCTGGAAAGCAAATGTTCTTTCATCAGTGTCCCAGGGGATTTTTTCCCCACTGAGAACTGGTGCTGAGTAACATGCTACTTTTCAAAGTGAGTGTCGAGTAGGGGTGACAATTCTGCATTTATCTTCAAATGAGGGGACTGCAAGAGCTGTCAGATGACAAAAACAGCCCCCTAATATTTTGAAAATACATCCTGTGGCATGCTGTATATGTAACCAGGACACTGTGGGCAGATTACTGCCATAGACATGAGTGAAATCAGTGAATGATAAACACGAGCAGACAGTTCTCAGTATTTTTCATGAGGTTAAGCCTCAAACTTGGTATTGAAAGTCGCATGGTAAGAAAATAATTTTTAGACTGTGTATGAACACCCCTGTGGAATCAGTGTTGAATGTGTAATATTACCTAAATTACCTGGAAAAAGTCTGCAATTGCTTGTTGATCTAATTATGTAAATCATGGCTTCTAAATGCCTATAGTTTTGCATATCTGTAGCTTCAGGTATTTAAAAGGTCAAACCTACACATAAAATAAATCCTGTGTTAAAAATATATGGTGTAGCCTGAGTGAGATGGAACACTCTTTTGTTGTTTAGCTAGAGTAATTTATAATAAAATATAGAAAATAGTTCTAGAAATCATTATCCCAAAAACTGACCTTCTGCTTTCATTACATTTTGTTTATATTCTGCAAGATAATGGTCTAGAATGGATTTATATTTGTCAGTCCTATAGTAATACAGAACAAAAATTAGGATATCTTTTTTGAATATATGTTTTAAGATCTTGGGGAATTTTAACAAGATAACCATGGGAAAAATGATCCTTGAAGTTAGAACCTAAAAAGGTTTGCAGTAGCCTTGAGAAAATGTAGTTCTGCATGGTATGATGTTTACTAGATTTTTGCATGCTTTATTACTCTAAGTGAACCCAGCCACTCTGGTGACAATTCCACCAAATTCTGGGCTCAGTGATGATACCAATCCTTCAGCTGGCTTAATAGGTGCTCTAAGTGAAGGTAACTTGAGGGGCCCACACACAAGAAGCAGAAGCAGTAGAATGCTGTTCTCCGCCACTGCTGGCTCCACAACTGGGAGGGTTTTGGTTTTGTGTTGCTGATGTAAAACAAGAGTTCAAGAATTTGCCACATGATGGCACCAAAAAAAGAAGAGAAAACAATTCCTGGGGCAGCTGCATGGCAGGCTGCACAGCTGTCAGCAGCACAGATTTGGCTGCACAGTGATGCACAAATGGCGACAGCCTGTGCAGCTAAGGATGGCATCCGTGGCTCCCACAAAAGACTCCTGTCCTGAGCCCTGTATCCATAATGTTTTGTAATCTTCATTTCAGATTTGTCATTTAGACTGACCAGACCACAGCCACCACAGCCCTCCCTTCCTTTTGTTTACTTTTTTTAGTGATCTATGTACAGATTTCCCAGGGCTCTTGGTTCCCCCAAGTCTGTAGACTGCTGAGATGGGAAACTTCTCATGGCATGGCACCTGATGCTTTTTGTTTTTGCCTCCCTGTTTGCACAGAGGATAAGTACAGCGAGTGGAGACGGCCGGCATTACTGCTACCCACACTTCACATGTGCAGTGGACACAGAAAACATCCGCAGAGTGTTCAACGACTGCCGAGACATCATCCAGAGGATGCACCTCCGCCAGTACGAACTCTTGTGAGGGGGATCACCGTGGAACCTGTGGTTTTAAATTCTTTGCTCCTTACTCTTTCTCTTGATACTACCCCACACAGGGTGGAAGAATATACTATAGAAATGTCAGTCTCTTCACTTTGTTTACTTTTAATTGTTTAACCTTAAAGCTGATTTGAAGCAAGTTTGGGTTATTTTCCCTTCATGCTTTTTGGGACTATTTTTGTGCTTTATTTTGACATGCCACTTCTTCGTCATTCCACTAAGCCCTTTGGCTACCTCTGTTCCCTTAGGTTTTTGTTTTTTTTAAAACTGAACGTGACCTGCTAAATTTTTTCCAGTGGGTTAACCTCAGTTCAGACCGGTATGTCATCTGGATGACACTGAAGTCATACCTATCCCTCTGTGTGGGTTTCCTTTTTAACATGACATTGAAGAGTACTTGATGGGTGAAAAAAAGATTAATGCACTTTGTATCAGGTTATTAAATACTGTTGAGGAAGTAGACACACAATGTAGCAGCACCACAATATTTATTACTCTGTCACAGTTTTTAGCATTTCTGAGTTGCAGGTCAACTGATAAAGTGACCTCCTCTTTTAAGCCGTTACTGGCACAGGAAGTAGAGTAGATAATGAGAGGAACGGTGAAGACAAAGCAATTTTTCTGGGGTTTTGGAGCTAAGTGTCTCTGCACACCTCAGGCATTTGAATTACAGCTACTTTTCAGCCTGTTGCATCTAGGCAGAAAATTTACCACCCTCACTTATGTTATTTGTGCTGTCCACAAATGATCCTTTTAGTTCCGATCATTCTTGGACAACAGTCCTCTCCCTATATATATTTTTTTGTTTTACTGCTGGTTTATTATATTGTACAGACTGTAAAATGTAATATTATTTTGTACAACTTTATTGAAGAAAAATACTTGTAGAAGATCTTTGTGCCTTGATTATGGCTGTACCTGTAAAATGAGCTAAGATGTAAGTATGTTTTTGATTGCGCTGTACAGCTTGATGTCAACCTTACCTGCAGCAGTGACTGGAGGTAAGAACTTTATCTGTAGAGTTTAGGGGTTTTTTTCTGGTTTATATAAAAATGCTCTTTAGTATAAAAATTATAAATTATGCAAATTAACCACTTACCTTTCCAAGTAAGGTATTACAGTCACCGGATGTTGCAGCAAACATGCCTTTCTCTTTTGAAGTCTCAGCTTTAAAACATTGGAATTCATTCAAGTGTCCAAATTGCAACCTGGTGTTGTTTTAATGGGAAACAAGGATTTATTTTCTTTTTCTTTCTTATTTCTTTTTTTTTTTTTGTCCTTTATATTTAGAAAATATGTTTGGTAATTCTTTGGTCATTCATAGAACTTCACAATTGCACAGACCGATTGTGAATGTGTAAAGCACCATTATATAGAGCTCTTCAATCTTTGTACCAACAGCGGCTTTCATTGTGCAAGTAAATAGCGAGAAAGAAGATAAGAAAAAAAAAGTGTATAAACCCTTGTGTCTGGCCTAAGAGAATTACAAGATGACATTTTTATTTCTCTTTTAATAAAGAGACACATTAGAAAATTATTTTATTTTAAATATTGTAGAATCAAAATGTGTGAATATTTCTCAAACTTGAATAATTTATGCAAATGACATTCTCAAAACAAGTTGTGGTACAGTACAATATATAAAAAGCAAGAATTGCTGTAGCAATAAGGCATGTCCTTTTTAGTAACTATAACACTGCTTTATATTTTATACATAGGTGTTTTATGTCTGTGACTATATACTTTTCCTGTGTCCAAGATAACCTGTACAAATGTCTAAAATTACAGTTGCAATAACAGAAACCTAGAGAAGTGTTAGACTACATTACTTTATAGAATGTTTTACCACACTTCGGACCATTCCCCCCACTTCATTTTAAATTTAGGGAGAGATGAAGAGCTAACATAGTCCCCACACTGGCATATAAATCAGCAGGTTTTATTAACTTTTTACTGTATTGTTATTAGTTATAAACCCCAATAAGTCATCTTTTTAAAATCAGACTACAGTCTAATTGAGAACTTGTTTCCAGTTGAATATAAAACAATCCCATTTTAGATACTATAATATGACCCATTTCTCTTCCCAGAAATCTCTATGTTCAGTTTACTCGTATTTCCCAAAAAGTGAAAGGCTGGGTGGAATAAACTAACAGTAAATAGAATTCTCTTATTTCTCATGCCAAAGAAAGTAATAGAATGAATAACAAAAGATAGTATTTTTTTGTTTTTAAGCTAGCCCCAGCCCAGGAGTTCAGGTTAGAGCTCCCAGCCTCTGCAGGAACATCAGCAGGAAAACTGGTCCTGGTGTGAAGTAGTCCCTCTGTTTTTTCTGGGATGGGTGGGGAGCAGCAGTAGGCTTGTCCCACCTGCCCCCACACACTGGAGACACTGAGCTCAGATTTTGTCTTTGTGGCACAGCTGGTGGCCTCTGCCTCCCCACAGAGGAGCTAGTGCAGTTCAAAATGTGACACTACATTCAAGTCAATGGAACTTGTGGAATGTAAAATAAGGTGCATTCCTATCCCTGGCTGTAGACCGAGGGCTGAGGCATAGGATAATGTTACTGCAGCTGTATTTGACCTTCCTTCTTGCAGGAGATCGGCAACTGGAGGGCCCCTCACCACAGATCTCTGGGGTGCAAAAGGGCCCTCTTTTTTAAGCTCATCATAGCACATCTTTTTGAAAGCAGCAGCTTGAGGTGTCACCCTAATTTTTTTTTAAAGCGGTTTTCAAATGTGTATCAGCAAACTGGATCCTCGAGCTTTTCTTCCCCGTGTTGTCTGGTAGATGGATAACTGCAACTTATAGTCAGCTAACAATTTACTGTGTCAGGAACCAGAAGATTTCTTGTCCCAAACCACAGTCCCTTACACACAACACGAAAAAGGTTATGGAAATCTGCATCTCTCAGTGCTGATGCATCCAGATTCTGCCTGACCCTAACAAACACAAGTATGACATTTGAAGGGCCATGCAGCAATAAAACAGAGAAACATTTCCAGTTTGCAAGATTCAGCCTCCACCAGGGTAAGACACAAGTGCAGACAAGTGATGAGGCTATAGGATTTACATAATGTACAGTTACACTTTTAATATACATATTTGATACAAAAATTATAGCAGGAAAAGAACTCATTTGATTGTCGAATACAGTATTTTTGTACAGCATGAAACGTTCATTTCAGTTAATTATTTATCCTGTAGTAGTCATATCAGCTGTATAGGACTTCTATGGTATGTGTAAATGCAACCTGCCTTCAGACTAGCAATCAAATTAGGTCATTTGCTGGCATGAATATAGTCTGATGTTTGACTGTTCTCAGCTTTGGTATTTCAGTGACTGAATGCAGATGTCTGGCTCTTCATACTGCTTTATGCTTACTGATTAAACGCTGAGCAAAATAAAACGGTGGAGTGAGAAGCTGAACATGAGCTAGTACCAGGATCACAAGCAGAGCACCTGCCGCACAGTAGATAGTGAAGACTCTGCTCTCAAATGGAAGGAAGCATTTTTGGAGGGAGAAGTCAGTTGGTGTTATGCTGCCCTGGAAAAGAAATGAAGACTGTCACTTTGCTGTGTTACAGTGGGTTCTGAATCAGGAGTGAACACCACAGCTGTCAGATCTCCAATTTCTAAATCCCTATGTTGGGTGGCAAGGGTTGGGGCCAGTTTCCTAGTACCAGTGCCTTCTCCGGGGGGCTGAAGAGTCCATACCTTGTGGTGCTGGGCACTAACTGGAATATTCACCAGGCCAACATTAGCCCAGAGGCCAATCTTCCCATCTAGCATAAACAAAGAGCTGGGCTCCTCATCTGATTTGCCTTCAAGAGAAGCCTAACTTTAGCTGCTGCAAATCCACCTGGAAGGAGCCTTTCCAGGCTAAAGTTAGGTTTTGTGAATGTGCCCCTTCCTTCCCCGAGCCCCCCTCCTTACCCAGTACATGCTGCAAAAACACAGGTTGGCTAATCCAAATTAGGAATAGGAACTTGAGCAACAAAGAACTTTGTTGGGTTTTGGCTTGACTTTGCAGTTTAAGGTAAAGTTTACAGCAGCTCGAGGCTGAGGAGTTCAAACAGTAGTGAAGAGGATGCCACTTTAATTAGCCAACCTCTTGTTTTGCAGTGAAGATGTGCTGTCTGGCGTGTGCAGAGCGTGTGTGCAGTTTGAAGGCAGCTACTCTCAGGACTATGAAATAAACAGAACTACTTTCAACAACAAATATTAACAGTTGCATAAAATGAATTTAAACATTTGGGGTTATCTGTGTATTAAGCAGCCTAAATTCAACAGCAGTAAAACATACATAAAAGATTTCCCTCTCCAAGTCACAGACTACTCTGTAAACAGATTGTAGGTTTTGCTTCTTACTCCAAGTTTCTAAGAGTTCTGTTTTATGTTTGAACTGGGGAACTAATTGATTTACCTCTAAGGATATACTGAGCACTGGAACTGCCTGCACGAGCATAACCAAGACACTGTATAAAATGTGAACTGGCGATGAGGAGCAGACTGTGGGCACGTCACAAACACTTTCACTGCTTTAATGCACACGTTTGAAAACCATGATCACCGTGCAAAAGGGTTTGAGGTGGATACAGTCTTGTTTTCATAGTTGGTAAATCAGCCAAGCCAAACTGGTCTTTCTACTGTTCAGTGCACAATACTGATTATTTTTACAAGTCAATAGTTTACAGTGCACCCTCTTTCTAAGAAAATGTACCCAGATACTAATTAGGTCTTTAGCAGCATTGCTTTGTACCACACAGAACATGTGGCTCCCACAGATGTACTTTATAAAGTGGATGCAGTGTACTGAGTGGGTTGGGTGGGTAGGCAGTTTTTTTTTATTATTTTTCGTTTTTACAGGTAGAATCAGTTTTAAAATATAGCTGACTGCCATGTTGATTTATCTATGAAAGTTATCTGACAAAAATAAAAAAAAAATTAAAACTTACCATGATGAAACTAGGATTGTTTCTATTCCTCCAACTGAATGATGGGACACTGATTTCTGGAATTTTCCCTGCGTGCAGCACTTCACAAGCACTATGAGTGTGCCCACTGAGAATCAAACGGGGCTGAAACCACCATAGCAGCTAGAACACAAAATGGCAAAGCACAAAAATTATGTCACAGCTAAAAAGAAATTGAACTTAAAAACCCCTTTTATTCCTTTGAACATTATGGCAATTCTCATATTCTTACAAACTTCTGCTTTCCAGTAAGAAATCTCTTGGTATTGCAATATCAATCACACTCGTTTAGCCCTGATCCCAACTACTGGGCTTTTCTTCTTTTTTTTCATACAGATCAGAACAAAGGCAACAGCATGCTGTGGATATCACAAAGAGAAAAACTTTGGGTTTAGTAAAGCAATGCTATTTTCTTCTCTAAGGAAGATTCTTGTAATGACAATCTTTGAGTGAAGACATTTATGCAGAAGGAAAGAAACAATGACCATTGAGTTTTAAGGGAATACTTTAAATTTTCTTGTAGTTACTAATTCAGCAGAAATGATGCTTTCAAAGTGTTGGAAAACTGTGGCTTCATACCAGGTGTGTCAATAAGTTACACAGTACAGAAAGTACAGAATGCTGAAGTGAAGGTAATGGCAGCACAGCAGATTTAAGAGTGCCAAGACTTAGGAGCTGTACCGGGGAAGCCTGGCAGGACCAAGGCCAGGGTGGTGAGGATCCTCAGGGGAGCAGCTCTAACAAGCAGCCTCTCCCAGGCCTCATTAGATGGGAGCAGCTGTGCTCTGTTTGTCTCAGCCAACAGCCTTACCACAATTTTTTAACCTATTTATATCTACAGTCATGTCCCCCTCTCACCCACCCACCACCACTCAAGTTCCCAAGAAATCAAACCTTTTGTGATGCCTCTTGAGACAGTACATCATACTTCTCTTTAAAGGGGATGTTTTTCTCCTCTGGAGGAGCAGAATCTTCTCCAGTACATTCAGCATCACTTTTCCGATAGAGAGGATAATGCTGGGAGTAATTAAAAGCAAGGATTAGTTGTTAATGATCCAGCCTTTCTGCAACAGTAATAAATCCACAAAAACAACATGGCAATATGTTGCCTCACCCCACCTCTAACACACCTGTAAAAGGATGGGTTCTGAAGCTGGAAGCTTTTCCACATCACTGCATCTTTTGTTGGAATGATTTGGTTTCTGTGAACAAAACCAAGCCATAGAAGGGGTGACAGTAATTAAGCAATAGCAAGACTTTAAGGGGTTAGGGAGGCTGGGGTTGTTGTTGGATTTGGTTTTTTGTTAAGCAGTTCAGCTCAGATATACTACCGACTGTATGAACTCCTAAGTGTTTTACTGTGGACTGGTGGAACTCCCCATTCTGTACATGCTGTAAATACATTTCTGACTGATGCCTTGAGTTTTAGCTTTTATATTTTTCAGATTATGTGCTGCTTTAGTGTGTACTTTTGAGCTTCATCAACTGCAGAAAGCAGCAGCAGCAGCAGGATCTCTGCACCAACAAGGCAAAGGAGTTTGAGGGCAGCCCAAGGGAGACAGAGTCTGGCAGTTTTTCCACTGGGAGCTGGTTTCCTGATTGACTGCCAGCCCAGTCACTCATGCTGCCTACTGAGCATCCTGTCAGCCTATGGAAAAGGGAAGAGGAAGGAAATACAAGAAGAAATTTGATAAGATGAAAAAATACAATTAGAACACTACTAGGGTGCGACGAAAGGATTGCAGTAGAATAAGGAATCTAAAAGAACATGCTTGAAGGGTATAAAACAGAATAATATCCATAAATATAAATGCAGGATATGTATCCGGAGTCAAAAGGGAGGGTTACAGAATTGCCATTGCTCAGAACAGAGGAAATGACACTTGGCAGCACTGACAAGGAAGTTGACACCAGTAGTGCTAAGCAACACTGCTAATAGTTAAGTAAACATGGTTAAGAGGGATACGAGGGGGAGACAGATTTGCTAACAAGTTGCACTGTGAATTGGAAGCAGATTTTTTCGGGACAGTCTGGTTGTATCCTGGCTGTGCTACAGTATCAGCATTCCCATTGTGGCAGAGGAGTCTCTGGCTGTAATCAGATGTTCAATAATCTCTTACCTGCTGGGAGCAATTCAGTTTGTGAGAAAGTGCCACAAGTTTTGCCTCTGTGGTACTGCAGACAGCACAGCCATCACCCTCCATTGCTACACTGTTCACTAGGACAAAGCTGGAAAATACCAGGGGGTGGACAAAGAGAAGTGGGGAGGACAGGAAGGCATTTGTTGTTCATACACACGTGTTTATAAGATAAACTTCATCTCATAAAATGCAAGTGTTCCTGAGTTGGACATAGCTCAACAAAGCAGCAGAATGTAACCGCTCCTGAAATCAGGTGTTCAATCCTCCTCTGAGTATCTGTACCACAGCCATGTCTCTGACTGGTTGGCTCCTTTATGCAGTTGTTGATTAGGTTGCACAATGTAGCTTATGCTTCATGCTTACACTAAAGATTTTTTTGTATTTTAATAGATACTTAAGTTGTATTCTAGTGGAATGTTAGAAGTTCATCACTAAACTAAATTCTGAGGGAAAGGAGAACTTGCTTCTCTGCCCACACAGTTTAGACCTCAGAGACAGCATTTGAGACATTGAATTTCTTCAGAACAACTGAAAAGCTGAACAGCACTGCATTTGGGTGACTCCCCTGAACAAGCTTAGTTTTTTACTTTGCAGTCTCTGACACATAAAACAGGATTTTATTCTTAATAGAAGGTTTCCCGGTACATTTCAAATAAACCTAAGTTCTGCCACAAGATTCATACCCATTTAGTCACACATTCAGCTTGAGATACATCCCCAGTTCAATTCAGTCTGTTTAAAAAACAAAACTAAGCTGAATGCTTCACTTAAGAGATACTAGTCAATAGTAAAACAAAAATTAATTCTCTTTTAGCAAATTAAGCTGCTTTTATACCATAGATTTGTTGTAAAATAGTTTATAATTTTGGAATCTTTATTTTAGGAATATTAATGGTGCAGCTCATTGCAGCTAATGGATACCAGACATGCCATCTGCAACTGCATAGGAGAATTCTGCTGTGCTGTTTTATCAAAGGAGACATGGAGATGTTCCTTAATAATTATTTTTTTAAACAGCTGAAATACATATCTTGAGGACCCCACATCTGCATGATAAGCAACAGCTATACTGAGCATTCATGAAGCTGAGAGATCTTCCTAAAATAGACACAACTATTTCCAGACCTGTTCAGAATTTTTAATTAAACCTTTATGTTTTCTTAATTAAGGGAACCAGTGTGAACCTGTAGGTTTTGAATCTCACGTTCCCACGAGTGAGTACACCCCAAGGGCACAGGTGCCAAACACAGAGTGGCAATGGGCCTTCCCTTCCTGAATCTGAGGCTTCAAGACCTTTCCACAAACCCAGCATTGCATTCCCTCTTCGGGTTCCTGCACGGTGTCTGGAGGTACCAGAGCACCCAGCAGCCAAGTGCAGCCACGGGGACACAGCTGTGAGAACGAACGAACTGCACCGAGGTCTGCTCGAAGCCAAAAGCAGCTCGAGCATTACTACCCCACCTTGTGGAACAACTGCAGACACACAGCTGCCGTGTCCCTCAATTCCTCAAACAAGGGTTAAGCTCTGCAGACTAAAGAAGTTATTAAAATTAATGGAACTCCTGATTTGTAAACACAGAGGGGGTTGGTTCATGTTTCTTTATCCTGCTATGTTTACAGCCATGGCTCATTAGCAGCTGCAAGGAAGTATAAAGGCACACCAGAGAAATGGATTCTGACTCCACAGTACTTTTCCATTTAAAAGGAAATTGTTACACTTTACACAGCTCTAAGTACAGCTTCCTGTCCATATCAAACTACAGGTTTGTACAAAGTGTCTGGGGCTTAACACATCATAAGGTAGGTGATTAAAAAAAAGGCCCTAAGTGAAGAATTCCCATACTATTTCATTAGAAAAAAATTAAATATACTCACTTTATTCCTTTCCGAGTTATCAGCTTTCCTGAAGTAAAGTTGAAAACCTTTTCAAATCGATTTACCTTGTAAGTAGTCATTCTGTGTCACAAAGGAAAAATACAACTGAGGTAAGAAATTGCCATTGGAACTCAGCTGACCCAGTTGCTTTACAGTTTACTGACCATTCATGCAGCTTGCTGCTGCAATATCCAGCTCACATAATCATTCAGGAAACTCACAGGGATGCTCTGACACCTCTTGTGTCCTCCAGCCCCTCCCATCAGTGCAAGCACCAGCACAGTGAGGGCACTTACAATCTCCTGTGCTAAAGGGAGTGCAAATATGCTCAGGTGCCTTCCTAAGGAGGAGGCCCAATACAAGGAAAAGCAGCTTCAAGGATTCCATGTCAGTGCAGAAGGATCAGCTCTGAACAACCCTCGTATGGTCAGAGAAGCATAAACCTGTTCTGTGCGCAGGCCTTACTCTCAATTACGACCCTTTCTAATTTGACTGTGATCAAAAAGTTTTCTGTATAAGCACAAAACAGGTGCCTCAGACCCAGCACAGTTACTGTGGGCAGGCTGGCACTTCATTCTTGGCACCTGTGTGCTCCTGGCACCAACAGACTCACTCATAATGAAATCCAATGTCGTGATTCCCAGCGATGACCACCAGCTCCGTAAAAACTGAATGCCTGAACATCTTCTGGAACCTCCGGACATCATCTGCCCAGGCCTGCAGGAAAACAACAGAAGAGGAAATTGGTGCTGTTCCACAGCATCACAGGTTTTGGGGTGGGTTTGCAAGGCAAGGTTTTGGTACTGTAGGGGCTGCAGGGGTGGATTCTGTGGGAGCCTGCCCTGTGTCCTAAAGAGCCGATGCAGCCAGCTCCAAGATGGACCCACCGCTGGCCAAGGCTGACAGTGCCTCTGGGATTACAGAATTAGGGAGGTGGCAAGAAAGGAAACTCTGCAACTGCAGCCAGAGAGAGGAGTGAGAATTTGTGAGAGGAAGAGCCCTGAAGACACCAAGGTCAGTAAAGGAGGCAGGTCTGTTTGTATTTTCTCTCCCCTCTCCAGCCAAGGAGGGAAGTGACAGGGCAGCTTTGTTGGGCACAGGCATCCAGCCAGGGTCAGCCCATCACAAGCCTATAACACAGAAGCACAAACTCAGATGTTTGTCTTTTATAAGTTTTATAGGAGGCATAAAACTGTCAAGGTACTTCCAAAAATGCAGGAGAATCACAACATTTCAACTTCTATGTGAAAAGCTAGAAACTACTACCAACAGGACAACTGTAGCAGCATTAAACAAAGCTTTGCATACCTAATCTGCTTCCATTTCCTTCAAGAAATCCTCATTTTTTGAAACAAGACAGCTGATGATGTCATACCTGAGGTGAGCTCCATTTTCCTTCATCAAAAACATCTCCCAGAATAAAAACAATATCTGGCTGCAGTAACCATAAGGCAGTTTGAAAAGATCTCTCCATTTGCCATTCTCTGAAAGGAAAACACAGAACCAGTTATCACTGCCTTACCTCTGGATCCTCAGCTCTGAATACAGAGACACAGCCTGGTGATAGGAATGGGAAACCTGCTCTTGCACACTAAAATATGAAAATATATTATGAAATCCAAATTAAATACTTAGAAATCAGGTGTAAGGATAGTAGGTGGGTAATTCCACCATGATACAATCAGGACCAAGACATGCAAGAAGTAACACCAGCTTGTTTATTTTTTCATTACAGTTCTAATGAATTGCTGTTTAATAGAACAGTGAATTATTGTTCCATTAGCTACTATTAAAAACTCTAAAACTGGCTAGAGATTATTTAATAAAATTAATAATTACCTTCTTAGCTTATCCAGCCAATGTCCTTTGATTTCACCAAGCAGGTGTGTATCAGCTAAAATGATGGCCTTTAGGACTGAAGTTTCTTTTTCAGCCATGTGAGCTCCACCTTTCACATTTGGCCATCGGCATTGAAATATCACCACGTAGTAAATTAAAAATTCACAAAATATTAACACTGAGCTAACAAAGCACACAAGTTTCAGCAGAAAACAGAGCCTCCTCTTCAGAGGGAGATTCTTCACAGCAGTTGAGCTAGAACTCAGCATTGCAGTACCAGCATAAGACAATGGCTCAAGTTCTCCTCTCAGATGAAAACAGCTTGGGATACTCAAAGGATCACATTGGGCTTTTTGTCAGCACAAAATCCCTGTGGAGAAAATACAAAATAAAAATAGCTTTACCCTATCACTTGGTGAATATGCAACTCTGAACACTGCACATGCTTTGAGGCAAAATAAAATATTCATTGAGTCTGCATTCCCTATGGAAAGCTACAATGTAAGGCCTACAGTGTTAGCTTCTTGTCACCCTGAAAGGCTTGAGAATATGTAATTGACCTAAGGAATGAAGTTCTCCTCCAGGCACACAGAGGCCAGCTGAGCACAGAACTGCACTCACTCCCACCAGTGCCCACAAGGAAAGCAGATTACAGCCAGCCAGGATCTTGGTGCATGATGCTTTTTCAAGAACTTCACAGTGAAAACACTATGAGTGGGGGTCAAATGTGGGTAAAGACAGAGCTTAGCTTGAACAGCAGCTGCAACAAAGGAAAAAAAAACTGTTAGGATCCATATAGAATCAGTGAGGTTGGAAAAGAACCCCAAGACTGAGTCCAAGCCTTAACACAGCACTGCCAAGTCCACCATTAAACCACGTCCCTAGATGCCACATCCACACACCTTTTAAATACCTGCAGGGATTGTGACTCCTCCACTTCCCTGGGCAGCCTGTTCCAATACAGAACAACCCTTTCAGTGAAGAAATTTTTCCTGGTATCCAATTTAAACCTCCACTGGCAAACTTGGGGCCACTTCCACTTGTCCCATCACTTATTTGGGAGAAGAGACCAACACCCCCTTGGCTACAGCCTAATTTCAAGTACTTGTAGAGAGCAATAAAGTCTCCCATCAGCCTCCTTTTCTCTGGGCTAAACAACTCCCAGAGGACATCTGGCACAAGTGAAGAACATGGCTACACCCAATCAATAGCATTACCACCTTTACTATGGTTCATTGTAATCTCCAAGAACCCAGGGCAATTCACTAGCCCAGGACAAGTTTACAGAACGATTCCAGGAACACAGGCACAGATACACAGGTAATTCACTAATGCTGCTTCATTTCTGGCAAGAGGAAAACAAGAAACATCTAAGCCTCAGAAAAATGAAACTTCACTGCAGCTGTAGAGAAACGGTTAATGAGCCCAAATTGAGATCACTGTATTTACTATTTTCTGCTGCCTTGGATACCTTGTAACCTAAACAGGGAATTGACCCCTTTTGAAACTGGAGTGTTTTTTTCTGTTTCTTCCAAAGCCCTTGGCAGGAACAGTTTTTCAGGGTAAGTGCCCACAAGAAAGTATCCCAGCTGAGAGTACAGGGGCACCAGCCCTTGCTCTCCAATGAAATCCCTGTTTCCAGGTCCAGCCTCTCAGGGTGTCAGTCTGAAGAGCACTGCAGGTCTGAAAGCCTTGCTCTTTAAAGGTAAACTCTGCAGCATGGTCACAGTAAAGGGACTCCAGAGGACCTATAGAGATGCTGCTTCACAGACTCAGGAAGAACTTCCAGAGAAATCCACAAAATGTGATCCCCCACCCAACAACAGGATTGCAATTTTGCTTTCTACGTTAGAAAAATATCCTAATTTAGGACTAATACCCAGGATGTGAGCAATTACTCAACATAGTGATTAGCAGACCAAGTCTGAATTAGCTAAATCTGACTACAGCTGTAAATATTTGGTACCTTTGAAAATTTATACTCCACATGTCAGGAAAACTGGGAAAAAATTACAAATCCACACAAAATTGTTGTGGATTGTTTCTAATATCTTGGCCTTAGTTATATGCAGAACATAGAACAAAGTTGAATTGCTTCACTGTCCTATGAACTAGCCCATTTGATTTATGTCTCATAGAAAGTGAATACTGACACATGATTATTATATTTTTTCCAACCAAAACCCCTATTTGATAATAGCCACTTATTCTCAAACACAAGCTTCCCATGTCAGCACTACAAAGTACTTGAGACAAAGAACCACTAGCCTGCACCATGAAACATTTCTAATATGCATTATCAAACAGTAGCATGACTAATACTTAATTGCATGGAATTCAGTTCTACCTAAACTTGGTTTAGCAGGAAAAAGCCACTGGCCAAATGTCACAATTCCACAATATGTGGAACTACACATATAGACTGATTAACCTGCTTAATACTCATCTTGCCTGCATTTTAACTAGCAAACAAAATAACAACACCTTGCTTGTACATCTCACACAGAGGAAAGATCAAAGCAGAGGTATCTGCTAACTGGCACAGCAACAAGGACAAAAAGACAGGCAAATTCTTATCCACAAAATGTTATTATCCACAAATTTGTAAGGCTTTATCCTGCAAAGTAGGAAGTAGTGCTTGTCTGGAAGTAGACTTTGGTAGTCTGAGACAGTCTCCTCGTCTAACAAAAACAGCATTAATTTGAACAGAAAATGCCAGTAGGTTATTTAACTTACATTAGCCATAAAATAAATCCAGAAAATAAATAAATAAATAAATGAAAATCACAGCTTCAAGAGCAAACTGATATCTTCAAGTTAAAAAAAAAAAATAGATGCCCACACCAACAAACCAAACCTGCAATCAGTAGAATATAAAAATATCTTCAAGGCAGAAGTGTCATTTTCAAAAGTCTCAGGCAGCAACAGACACAATCAGTGCCCCCGAGCCGAGCCGGTCACTTCCACACGCGTTTCTCCTCCCGCTAATTGTCACTGGCTGGGGAGTCGTGCCGCAGATGTGGAGCTTGCCAGAGGTGCCCCCATCTGTACCCTACACCGCCAGCCTTCCTGATAGTGAAAGGAAAAGCGGAAAGGGAAATAAAAAAAGAAAAAAAAAAAAAAAAAACCCGAACCCAACCTCATAGAAAGTCGGCGATGCAGATCGAGCTGAAAGACAGCTCCTACTAGTGGCTGAGAGAAATCCCTGCCCACCACGCTCTGCCACCTGCCAGCCCACGGCTGCCCCCATCCCATATCCCACCCTATATATCCTATCCCATCCCATCCCATATATCCCATCCCAGCTGACCCCCGCCGGGGCTGCACAGCCGCTGCCGGGTGGAGCTGCGGCTCCCCCGCACACGGCTCATTATTCTCATCAGAGCAGATTTCCCTACCAGAGCCGGGAGACTTTAGTTATGAGAAAAGACTGGAGGATTTCTCACTGTTTCTTGTTCTGCACGACCTTTAAAAATCAGCCTATGGACGAGGACAATTACTGAATCATTTAACAACGGGACCAAAGTTTAAACATGCTGAAAGTGTAACTTCAAACCTCAACACTGTGGGGAAAAAGACTCCAGTAACTGGAACTGCTTCCTTCTCCAGCATTCACGTTTATTTTACTCATTAGTGAATGTTACAAACATTTTGCACTCATAATTTTCTGTTATACTTGCTATGCTCCTTATTTTTTTCCACGAAGTTTACTGGCAACACAGATTTGCATTGCTCCTCTTTTGTTTCCTTTTTCCATCTCTTGTTCAGAACATTATCCAGCTTTCATTTACAATGAGCCAAGAACGAAGCAAGGGAACACAGTGGTCTATAGCCAGAGCAGGCACAAGGAGCTCTGGAGCTTTACCCTATCACTTGGTGAATATGCAACTCTGAACACTGCACATGCTTTGAGGCAAATTTCTTTATTAAATTACAACTGCACAAAACTCTCCTAACAAACCAAGTGGGACCAGAGAGTCTTAAGAAATCCTACTCCTAGTCCTATCCCTCAGGAGTGTCCATGTATTTTTATGAAGCTAAAGAAGCTGTATTAGTTTATTAGCAAGCTAAGTCTTTCTACCCTAAGCACTTTCCACTTAACTCTACCACCACAATGTCACAAAGGTAGAGATCTACACCTTTCAGAAAAACATAGTTCTGCAATGTAACTATGTTAAACTTTTGTGGCATGTCATTACAAACAGGCTGAGATTCAAATTGCCCAGGTTCTGCGAGCTACACCTGTAACTGGGAGTTGTCTCTTCATTCCCTGCTCACCATCCCTGAAGCAACACGACATTTCTGCCTCATGGACTGTGACTTTCTGCATTCCCACTTTCCTTTTCAGCTCTTCAAATACCAGAGTTCTTCAAGCTCTTGAATCAAAAGAGCTTCTGAGGAATTCTTCTTTTGATGATGCAAAATGCTCTGAATACACTTTCCAATTCTGAACACTAAATCCTTCCTTCATCCACAATTTTTCACTTATTATTGGGATTGAGGAAAAATTCCAAGCGGCGATTTAGCATTTTTCCTTTAAGAAACCCCTCTGCAATAATTTAATGATATAATTAATTTCTGTTTGCATTAGCACATCCTTAGTGCTGAAATTCACGCAGACTGACAAATCTACACAGACACTTTGATTTTATGTAGCTTACAGAAAAGGATAAATTGGGAAATTCTGAAAAATACAACAATTTCATTTTATTCTCATACACACCCATAACCAGAATATATTCTGCAAGTGTGAAAGAGATGGGTTTGAAACTTAGCTGAAGTTATGCAGATCACAGTTTATTTAAATATATATACAAACAAACAAAATCAAGGTCATGAAATACAACATTTCCAAGCACTTGTCATAATGAGATCACATTACTGAATCTGTATTATCAAACTATGGTACCACTTAAGCAATGGTAGGTTTAAATGTTGCAATAATTATAAAAAAATATACAGAAACTCTACCTGGTATTAAATTAACCAGTAGTTACAAATGTGCAGTAAAAGGAAGTCCATACATTACACTGATTTGTTTCAAGCACTTTTCATACTCATTGTTGAGTTTCACAGATTCCTGTACAGCATGTTTTAGATCTTCTACCTCTTCAAAAAAATCCTAAAAAAACCCAGAAATATTCACCTTAAACTCTTTTTTCAAAGACATTCTCAGTAAGAGCTAGTCAGGAGTTCAGTTATTCCAAGACACTTTCTGTGTTTTTACCAGTGTATGGCTGAGTTATGCAAACACAGCTGTGGTGAGATACAGCAATCAACTACAACCTTAGGTAATAATTTAGTAATTTCTGCCCTGAACACACAAGCAGAGTTCAAGTTATGTTAGAGGCTGGAACACAGACTAGTAATAGGAAAAATCAGTTTTAAAAAGGAAAAAATATGGATTTACCAGACAGCTACAAAATGATGGTCCAATATGACAAGGGAATAATGTCACATTCTGATTCTTTGTAAGTCAGAAATCGTTGGGAAACACATGGACAGAAGAGTATAATCACCCAAGACTTCCTTTCACCAATCCTTGAATGTTCCAGCTACCGAAATAACAATGTATCTACCTGTAACCATCTATATTTGACATTCTCCTCCCCATTCTTCAGGCATTTTTAAGTGAACAGCTACATACATATAACACAGCAACTTAAAACTACCTTAAAAAAGGACCACTGCTAAAAAGCCACAACCTCAAGTTTATGTATGTCTCTTGCAAGATGAAGCTCTCAGCCACACATTGTCCCTGACTGCCAAACACAGGGATCTAGAATTCACCCTGGCTTAATATTCTGCAAGTTACACATCAACTACCACCCTCTTTTACTGTTACCCCTGCAATTAATACCATAATGTTATTTAGTTTGGGAGAAAGGACTGCAAGGTAATAAAAGAGATTATTTTTTTAAAAAATCCACAACAACAAAACAAAAAGACTTGAGGAACAAGCAAAAATCAGCTTAAACAATTTGCTGCTGAAAATAAAACCTTATGTCACTACATTAAACTGAGTCTTCTATAGTTAGGTAAGAGCTCAGCATCTTGTTACATAATTTAAAGAATTACCAAATGTTCACATTTTCAATTTTTACACCTATAGATCTAACAAAAAATCCCAAGCCTCTGCCCTCCCTAAACTTGGAGTTCTGTCAGAGGCATAACTTTGACATGCTTAAGTTCAAGAGAAAATAGTGTTCCTTAGCTGAGTGGCCCTTCAGGACATGAATGTTTCAAGGAGTCACTCCTTTCCATCTCTCTCAGAATGCCATACATTGGTTTCTTTATCTATTCTACTTGATAGCAACATATGTTCAGCCTAAAGAAGTTTCAGCTCAGGCAGAAAAGTTTAGTTTTTCAAAAATCACCTACTGTTAAGCTTGTCTTAAAATAAATTACCTTGTCTAATCCAGCTAATTCATTTTTTAGTGCTCTCTTTTCTGCAGACAACTTTCCATTTTCTTTCTTCAGCTTTTTAATCTCCTTCAACAATAGCTCTATATTCAAATGAAAAAATGTAGAGTTAAACCATTACAGTCAACCTCCCCCTCATATGAATCATATTACAGCTAAAGAGCTGCCTACCTTTTGTGATATTAGAAAATTATAGTTCAGCTTCTTAAGTACCTTTTTCATACAGCGATTTGTTCTTAAGAACTGGCCCTGCATATCCCTGTGAAAGATATCAGGATCTGCCAGTTGGATAATCTGGATCTGCCAGATTCTTAGATGTGGAATTATTTTACAAATAATTTTACAATCCACAAAACACACATCACATGCTTTGATTATCTTTTTCTGGCTCATGAGAGGGTCACATCACCCCTTGCTGCTACACATTTCCTGAAAAATATGCCTACATTATATGATCTCATCCATCTCTTTTCTCTGCTTTGAAATGGAAGAGGATCACACCTTAAATTCTGGATTTACTTATGAGAGGAAGAACGTACTGAAACCAGCACTGGCCAGGCTTGGCCAACGTTTTAAGGCTAAAACCAGGTTATTCTGTGACTCAGTGTCTGAAAACCAAAGGCTGGTGCTGCAAACACTATTACTAAGAGATCTGCACAGATACATCTTACTAGAATAAATACCAGCACTAAATAGAGCCAGCACTCCCACCTCTGATTACAACAACAGATCTGTTTCAGAAAAGAGAAAACAGCAAACATTTTATCACAAACAAATGCAAGGAGGAATCCTAGATTATAAAATGCCATTTTTACGCAACCAGTTTTCAAAAATGAAAAAAACATTTTAGATATTGCTGGTTGAAGGAGAAGAAATAGCCTGGAGTGGCTGTTTCTCGATCAGAAATAAAATGCATTCTCTCTGCTGGGCATACTGGAAGGAACATCATCAGAATTAACTGTACCATTACCTAAATACCTACTGCAACAGGCTTCCTTCTCTGCAGAAATGTCCTTGTGAGAAGCTACTCCTCCCTCTGGGGTTTGACTTCTTTTTCTAGAAACAGCACTAGTTTTCCAAGAAACCTTTTTACATTCCAGTTGCTCAATTCTTTGCCTCTGCTCTTGAAGATTATGCTCTAGCTCATTAATTTTAATCTGTCAAGAAAATCTTTTTTAAATGCATAGAAAAAGCACAGTTCAACTGAATACAACTGGAAACATTTCCCAAATGCAAACCTAGAGCTTTCAATTGCTGGTTTAAAAACTGCATTCACCCAAAGAGTCTGAAAGGAAAAAAAAAGCAAAGCACAGATGAAGAAATTAGACTGGTGAGCTGCAATGCTCGATCCATGCCTGAAGAGGCAATACCCTCTTGAAGCTTCTAGAACTGCTCCTGACCACACAACCCCACCTTCACTCCAGTTATGATGCCAGACTCTTTGCACAGCAGGGCCACAGACCTTGCTATCCAAAAGAACACTCTTTGTCTTCATCTGGTTTTCCTTCTGCTGAACTTCTAAGAAAAATCAGCTCATGACACATGCAGAAAGACACCAGGGCTGGTGCAAAAGAGGTCACATGGTGCATATCCAATTGGAAGGAGGGGTAGGTGGATGAGTAAAGAAAAAAACAAGGGAAGGGGAGACATCTTTCTGCTACAGACACACCAATGACAGAGTTCGCTTTTAAAGGGAACTGCAGGCTACCCTCCAGTATCCCTGTCATGGGAAACTAAGTATAAAAAGAAAAGCATGGTCTCGTTTCACAAATGTAAGAATTACTTTTCAGTCTCCCTAAAAGCTTATGTTTGGCTGTTTGATACCAGCTCCAACAAATTCTACTTACAGTGAGATTTTTAATGGCTTCTCTTTGCTCCTTGTTTGTTTTGGTTTCTTTAACATAACGCTTCTGTAGCTCATTATACATCTGAAGTAGTCTAAAACAGAAATGCATAAACTGCTGTAAAACATGAAAGACAACAAAATGTGGCATCATTTATGGTAAAAGTATTAGATATGCCCCACAGAGATCACTTGACCTGTAGCTGTGCTGCAGAGACTCCTAACAGAAATATTCAAGATGGCAGTGAATGAAATGTGACTGTCAACACAGAAAGAGAAAGCACCAGAAAATAACAGCAAAGCAAGTTAAAAGAATGGTCTGTAGGGATGGCAAAGAACCCTTTTTACTCAGCCAGACTGAGGATCCCATTGTTTTTGACCAGCACACATGGCCACACTCTGATTAAACCTCAGTGCAAATCACTCTTTGAGGGAAGACAGCAGCAACAGGAGGCTGGCAGTGACTTTGCCCCTGTCACATACAGCATTCCTCTCCCCATTAGCACAACAGGAATAGCAAAAGGATACTCCTAAATGATTTTAAAAAGTTTTTCCAGCACCAATCAAGAACCCATGATGAGGACACATGAGGCAGCTCCCAGCTCTCTGTGTTGCACAAAACATCTCATTGCTTCCAAGTGTGTGGGTGTGAGGATATGAGTGAATGAAATCTATGTGAAAGTGAGTGGGTAAAATAAATGTCAAATAAACAGATTAGGGTTATTAGCTTTCCCTCTGATATTATTTTGCATCGTGTTCTGCTGTACTAATTTCCTACCATATTTCATAGCCAACATACACAAGGCCCACAGTTTAGCTGATGGACATGAGCAGACATTTTTCCTATTTTTTTTAGGAATTACAGTAAGAGCTGCCATTCATAATAAGTCATGACTGCACACCACAAGCAGGATGAGCAATACTGTAGCACAGCACAGCTTTGTGAAAGAACACACAAACATATGCTAGGAAAAAAAGCTAGGTTGGGTTATCTACGTGCAATGTAGCACAAGGCAGGTACAGCACTCAATTCAAAGACTAATTTGGACTTCTTCTACATGAGCACCTAACCAGGAACTCAGTTTGAGCCCAGAGCCAGTCACCCAGCCTTCCTATGTAACTACACAGCTTGCAAAGAGAGCCTGGCACACTGTAAACATATTAAAAAAAAAAAAAAGTGGGTCTTCTACAGCCACCTAAAAACACTAAAATCAGGGCACTTGGCCAAAGAGCAGCAGAGATCTGTGTAAGATCCACATTTATGTAAGTGGACAAAAAGCAGCCTTTGAAGGGGTGAGCAGCCTAGAATTTTACAATTTAACAATCAAGTCACAGAGGGATGGAGCAATGTTTTACATAGCTTGCCGAGTTGTTAAAATGTTCCAGTATATTTTTTCTTAAAGACCAAATTGTAGCTTTTGCATCAGAAAAGCAGTTGCAAGAGTTTAATTCTATCACTTACTGGCAAACTACAGTAAGGAGTGGCTCAACTCTAAAATTATTAGACTGAAAAGTAGAACTGCTTCTCTAGCTTATTTCAAAACCAGCCTATACATTTTATATGCACAAAACAGTGAGCAATATAAATTGAGCTGAGAAAGGTTCCACAAAACAGAAGTGAAACCACAAAATTCTAGGTTGAAAAATCTTAAAAAAAGATCATATGTGTGCACACAGACACATGAAGGAGGGTCCTAGCTCATTGACTTTTTCTCAATGAATTACTTGAGGAAGAAATTCAGTTTGCTCTTTGCTTGGTGCTATTTTCAAGTTTAACCCAAGATTTTGTAATTATTTTTAAAATGTGAATGATTTCCCATGGTTTCAAAGGCTGAAAGCCACTTGCATAACAGCTTAAAAAAAACCAACTGACTTAACCATGAACATTTTCTCCACTACAAAGAATAATTCTGTGAAGAAGCAGCTTCCAAGAACTCACCTGACACTGTCACTCTCTAGAACCAGGTCCCTCCTGTCTCCACCCTTATGGCATAAATGGGTTTCTGTTTGAACCTGAACACTTAATTGAAACAAACACAACAGCTTCATAAAATCATATTTCACCAATTTAATTTAATTAAACAAAGCAACTGAAAAAGGCCAAGTTACTTTTCAGTTTAATTTTATGGTAAAGGTTTCCAGGCAGTTCACAAACACACCAAAACTGAAGCATTGGAAGATTTTTGTGAACCAGTGTGTAAATCCTGGCAGGATACTCTCCAAACCATTAGCACTATAGTTTTTCAGATCTTTAGGTTTTAAATCTTTTAAACAGCATGGATGCTACTCAATTTATCTTTATCTTACCACTTTTATCAATTTATCTTTATCTTTACTACTTTTTGGTGGGAAAAAGTGTAAAAGCCTCTGTAGTTTGACAGAGAGAGTGTACTGGCTAAGCAGGAGTATTACTTTTTGATATGACAACTGTTTCTTTCACTACAATAAATTTTGTACAAGATGCCCCAGATGTCCTTTGTTCCTCTACAGGGCCCCAGCATTTTCCACCCCACCATCCTGTTCACAGATGACTCCTCAACATACTCAGAGCAGATAATGCCTAGCTCATCTTAAGAACATGCAAACAGAAGTCCTGAAATGCTGCACTTCTTTTGATGCAAAAGAGAAACGTTTGACAAGTCTTACTCTCTGCTTGTGCCACAGACATGCATTAACTGCTGCAGATACAGTTGTTCCTGGATCTGACCCAGATTCCTTTCTAACTCCTTATTTTTTATGTGTAGTTTTTTCACCTTCTTGACTAACTGCTCATTTTCATCAGTGAGCTGAAAAGGAAGAGAATTGAAAAACAAAAAATCAAGGAACACTTTCAAATCAAATGTTAATTAAGCTGATAACACTTCAAATTAAAACCCTCTCCCAAATACTTTACTACATTTTTCCAAAACCATAGAAGCATCTAAAAGGAAAATGGCGGGAAAAACAACTGGCTTCAAATTTTATGAACATTTGACTGCAACAAATCTCCTTTAACAGGTATCTATTAAAGGTGTCTAATAGAACTTTATAAGTCATTAATTCATTAAGGAATGTTGGGAACTGGTTTTGCATTTAAAATTAATCACACAGGGACAAAGCACCCAAGTTATATTCCTAAACTATCAATACCAGCTCTGCAAGGTAGTGTTTATTTTTGATTTAACCTCACCAGAGACAAAAAGACAGCCACACTGGCTGAACATCTTGCATGCATGTCTGCTGGACCTTGCTCAGCAGTATATAGTCTCATATATATTATATGTATATTATAAATATATATTATATTATAGTAATATGAGGCAACATATAGCTATATGCATTTTGTATATATAATTATATGTATATATATTAATGCATATATAAAATTAATGTGTGTAAATATAGTATATATAACATATAAAGCTATATATAAGGCAATATATTATACATATGTAATACATATAACTGTATTTATAGTTATATATATATATAATATATATAACTACAGGGTATGCATATAGATATATAGCATTTATGTGTGTGCATGTGTGTATGTGTGTATATATAATACATAAAGCTATATATAAGGCAATCTATTATACATATATAATACATATAACTGTATTTATAGTTATATATATAATATATATAAGTACAGGGTATGCATATATATAGCATTTATGTGTGTGCATATATTTATATATGTATGTACATATACAAAACTACTATTTATATAAACACAAACACATATAAGTGTAATGCCTTATCCTACAGGGTACTGAGTACACCCGACGCCCTGGGCCAGCGCCGAGCCCCGCGCTGCGTTCTCAGCCTGAGCTCGGCGCCGAGGGCAAACCCGGCCCAGCCGAGCCTCCGGCGCCCTCCCGGGCCGGGCTCCCGGGAGCAGGGGCCGCACTCACTTGGAGGCACCTGTGTACGACGGGCACGGCCATGGCGAGCGTCGGGGCAGCGGGCGGGATAGACCGGGATAGGACGCCGGGGTAGGCCGGGATGAGCCCCAGGATAGGCCGGAACGGGCCCGGGATAGGCCGGGATAGGACGCCGGGGTAGGCCGGGATGGGCGGGATGAGCCCCAGGATAGGCCGGGACGGCCCCGGGATAGGCGGGGATGGGCGGGACGGGCCCCGCGATAGGCGGGACGGGCCCCGGGATAGGCGGGGATGGGCGGGACGGGCCCCGGGATAGGCGGGGATGGGCGGGACGGGCCTCGGGATAGGCGGGACGGGCCCCGGGATAGGCCGGGATAGGCAGGACGGGCCCCAGGATAGGCCGGGACGGCCCCGGGATAGGCGGGGATGGGCGGGATGAGCCCCAGGACAGGCGGGACGGGCCCGGGATAGGCCGGGATGGGCGGGGTGAGCCCCAGGAGAGGCCGGGACGGGCCCGGGATAGGCCGGGATGGGCGGGACGTCAGAGCCGAGCGCCCGCGCGCGGTGCAAGTGCGCTGCTGCCGCCGTCGCTGTGGGCCGGGCGCGGAGCGGAGCTCTTGCCTAGCCCGGGGCGGCCGGGCCTGCTCCGGCCCCGGGAAAACAGCCCCGTCCCTTTCCAGTTGTCATGAGTGTTATTCGCGGGTTCAGTTGGTGCGTGTCAGTCTCAGGGTGGCCTGCGCAGGTCCCGGAGCTGGGCTCGATGATCCTGCTGGGTCACTTCCATCTCAGCAGGTTCTGTGACTTTCTGTGGCGGACAGGCACCGACCGGGGGATACCGACAACTCTGCCGGCCGCAGATGGCACGGATACACCAACACATGCCAAATGAGGGATCTCTGCAAAAGCAGATTCTGCATCTCCCCCCATCACAACGGGTCCCATGACATCCTCCCGGCAGGAGATAGCAGCGTGCCTGGAAATGCTGCTGCCCCCGGGAAGCAGGGACTGTGTCCTCGGTGCTGGGGTGCTTGCTGTTGCTGCTTCTTGCTGGGCTTTGCCTTTTATGTATAAATATCTAAAGAGAGGGTGTCCAAGAGGATGGAGCCAGGCTCTTCTCGGTGGTGCCAAGCAGTAGAACAAGAGGCAGTGGGCACAAACTGACCTGCAGGAAGTTCCACTAGGGTATGAGGAGGAACTTCTTTACTGTGGGGTGACCACAGACTGGAACACATCTCCCCAGAGAGATGTGGAGTCTCCCTGACAGGAGATACTTGAGAACCATCTGGACACAATGCTGTCCATGTGCTCTGGGATGGCCCTGATTGAGCAGGGAGGTTGGAGCAGATGACCACGGTAGTCCCTTCCAACCTAACCAAGTCTGTGATTCTGTGATTTGGGTTTTTTTTATTTTTCTGGGGTTTTTTGGCAGATCAAGCTGCAGGGCACGCAGGCAGGACAAAAGCATTCCACCCTCAGGACTGCACCTTACAGACACCATACCAACAGCATGCACTCACCAGCCACAGGAAGAGCAGCTATCACAGCAAGACTGACCCAAAGCAGTGATTATTGCCTGCTGGTCTTCCAAGCCTTTGTCAGTGGCAGTTTAAAACCTTTCCTGTTCCTCTCTCATTCGCCAGGTCTCAAATCTGGCTCTTCTCTTGTTCTCTGCATCTCCTGTCTTTGTACAAAATCTTGCCTCACTCATTTCTTAAAGCACATCACATTTCCTTTTTTCCTTCTTCTTTTTTCTTTTTTTTTTCTTTTGTTAAAGGTTGCCAGATGCCACCTGCTCCTCCATCTTGACCACGTAGCCTACCTGATTGCAGTGCCTGGCAAATTTTGCATAGAACCAATCACAAAATCATAGAACGCTAAGGGTTGGAAAGGACCTTTGTAGATCATCTAGTCCCAAACCTGCTGCCCTGTGCAGGGATACCTCCCACCAGAGCCATATCCAACCTGACCTTGAACACTGGCCAGGGCTGGGGTACCCACAACCTCCCTGGATAACCTGTTCCAATGCCTCGCCACCCTCAGTAAAGAACTTCTTCCTAATACCCAGCCTAAATTTCCCCTTTCCATTTGTACTCATTACTCCTTATCCTGTCACTACTGTTCCTGACAGAGTCCCTCTCTGGTTCCCCTGTAGGCCCCCTGGATACTGGCAGCTTGCTGTGAGGCCTGAAGAGCCCCATCTTGCTCAGCCTGCTGTGCCTGGGAAGAGGGTGTGGGCATGAGGAGCTCATCACTGCCTGCCTGTGAGCCAACAGTTCACTGGAAATGTGGCAGGAGACAGGTCAGGTTGGGCTGCAAGCAGGAACTGTAATCAGATTGAGGGAAGTGTTACACACCTCTGGCTCCAGGGCACAGCCTGGCATCTCTCCTCCTCCACTCCCAGCCCAGTCACCCATCCAGACAACTTGTTGAACTTCACACAGGGGTCACAGTGAAAGGTGAAATCCTTGTCTATATTCAGCTCAGGCTTTGCTGTGCTGAGCTGAATGTTCACAAGATCCCAGCTCTGAGGCTGTCAGCAACCTGAGAGTCCATGTGAGGCAAGGACTTCCCGTGGTGTTACCTGCTGCCAGGAATCCTGCCTGGGAAGACTTCTGCATTAGTTCCATAGAATCAGCCACCCAACACTGCTAACTGCTGGAGCCTGTGACAAATCACCTTGACTTCAATTGCCTGGCATCAAAATTGCTACTTCAATCAGCAACTGGCATGGAATGAACTAGCAATGGACAGTTCATGCTGTGGAAACCACAAGGTCACTTCTTGGTAAAAGGACAGCTGGATGTAACTAGCTACAGTAGCAGCAAGGAGAAAAAAAACTTGGGAGGGATAGTAGCAGCCAGCAATGCCATGGTGCTGTAGGGAAAGGGAAATCTCATTTTCAGATGAAGCTGCAGTACACTGAGATGCACTTACACAGTTTTATTCTGGTTTATCCAACAGAAACAATGTCTCAGATGAGGAGACTGTAAAACAGGAATAAAAACTACACACAGAAGAAAATACAGCATATCAGGACGTGTTAAAATCAGAATCATTTTAACTGACTTTGGTTATTGTAAAGGACAGTAGTAATTGTTTCCTGTGTCTTCCAGAGGAGAATGAGCACAAATAAAGTAACTGTCTAACAGAGTAGACATCTCTCATCCCTTCAACTGGATGAGAGGGAAAATGTCTTGATATCAAAAAGAAAAACACACATAGTTCTTCCTCACTATATATTATAATAAACACATCATAGAATGATCAGGCATGACTGAATACAGGTACACCTAATATGCACAGCACAGTGGCATAGAGCAAGTAGACAAAAGGTCCCTTCCAGGCCACCATTTCAATGAATCTATGTTATTGATTTAGAAAACACACTCTGATATAATAGATTCTGATTTTTTGCAAAACTTTGTAAAAATACTTCAGAAATAATTTTTCCAGTGACAAAGAGAAGCTGAATGTAAGAGTGCAATGGAGAGAGATTAGCACAGTGGAATCCCAGAGAGATGTGGAGTTTCCCTCACAGGAGATATTTGAGAAGCATCTGGACACAATCCTGTCCGACGTGCTCTGGTATGACCCTGGTTGAGCAGGGAGGTTGGAGCAGGTGACCCCCTGTGATCCCTTCCAACCTGACCCATTCTGTGGCTCTCATGTGTGAAACCTGCAGGCCCAGTTTCTCCAGCTCTTCCAGCAACCATTCTGGGCACACTGCTGCTCTCCTGCTTACCCAGGAGTTGACAATGCAGCTGTGCACAGTCTTTAAGACCCAAGTGGTTTCAAAACTCAGAAACTGTTACCAGTAGTACACAAAAAAGTTGGGAAATAGACCAACAGAGGTAAAAGGGAAACAAGAATTCCTGATTTCTGACCTAGAAGGCGAGCCATGCAGCCCTCTTCTTTCCCAGTTTTCCATGCCTGGCAGGGGAATTGATGACAGACAGAGGAAGCAGACAACAGCCAGGTTTCTCAACTATGCAGGTGCAGGAGTTTGAAAGATGCAGATTCTGTCAAACAAGCATTGATCCATCCAAATGACACCAAAAAAGCCCCTACTTGTATCTTGCAACTCTTGGGAAAATCTACAGCTGAAGTTCTTGCTGGTTTAATGATGCACATTATGATCAAACGTCTTCAAAATCACCATTGATTTTGAGAGGCTCCACTTCAAAATGAGCATCCATTCTTCCAAATTAAAGATACTCCATCAATTGGTAAAACTGGCCTAAAGTGTGTAGCACTGGACATCAGATTTTGAAAATCAAAAAGCTACTATTAGCCTATGTGTGTACAAAATACCCCATTGCTTATACAAATTATAAAAGACTGATGTGCACTTGATTAGGAAATATGTTCATTTTCCAAAGATCCTAGCAATACATTATTTTAAAAAACTTCTCAGTGGCAGTGAATGTGTGAAGTGCCACTAAGATACTTTCCACTGTAAACAATGATAGCAGAAACATTTCCTTACACTATTGTTCAGCTCATTTGTTGAACACAATCTTTTTTACTTTCATTTTTGTTTTAATGTAGTTTGGTATGAACAAAGACACATTTCATGCTGGCTTACATAAATGAAAATGTCATTGATTGCAGTGGTGCTGAGTCTCCTACTTGCTGCCAGACAGCAAGAATGTGACCCATTTCACCCTTTTTCACCTCCACGTGCACCAAAATCATTGATTTGCCAGAAAACATATAAGCATGGAATTATACAACCCTACAATATGATGCAACCCTACAGTAACTCCCAAGTGTAGCCTTTTTCTACATGGATTAAAGGTGAATATGTGTCCTTTCAGCCCTCAGGGAGATCTACCATCCTCATCTGATTTTCCAGGAATGAAAACTTTCCTATGAAAATCTTCATGCCTTTGTAAATCATGTACAAATTTCACCTGCCCCAAATGAATCTCTTTTATTCCATCCACCCACTGTGTCAGCAGTGACTTCTTCCTGAGTCCCTTTCAGGCTGGAAGATGGCAAACATGATTTTTCTGCCTGGTGTGTTCTGTGGCACAATCAGGGCTGCCAGTCTCACACCCAAATGCCAGTTGAAAAATCATGGAACAGCCTTGAACATAATGGCCAACATGGAAAAAAGGCCCTTTCCCCATCTTGTTCAGATCTTTGGTCACAGAGTAATAATCCCATTTGTGTTCAGGAACCTATCCTGAAACACGGAGAAGCAGTCTGGCTTTCCCAAGCCTCGGAACAACCACTTTGGCTAAAAGCAAAAATTCAGAGTTCAGTTCATGAACATTTTCTGCATATCAAGAGAAAAAGCACCAAGACATGACTGGATTAAAGGTGATCATTTGCAGAACTGGAAAATAAAATACTTTCTCATAATGTATAAGAAAGTCAATTTAATCTTAAAGCTGACAAAACCAGAGGCAATATTTATTAAACCAAATTAAGCTACAGGCATCCCTGTCACAGCACACTGACAGAAGTTCTGTATCACCTTCAGTGACAGGAACATCAAGTTATAATACTAGATTGTTTTCAGTGGATAATGTTCAGTGTTTTCAGTGGATCAAAATACAATACCAGCATGCATATGGCAGTCTGCTCTTCTCCCTTCAAGGCCAGGGAAAAATACCTTTTTATTATATACCCACAAATGTGGTCTAGGAAAAAGAGTAACAGCTTGGGACTGTATTACCTTGTCAGAGAACCCCCTACAGAGAAGAAAAACATCTCTCACTGTAGAATCAAAGGCACTCACACCTCAGGAAAGTTCTTGCAGCCATACCTCCTGGAAGAGAAAATTTCCCAGGATGACAGAGCCAGTCTGAAAACTCCAGAAAAAAAAAACCTGAAAGATGTCATTTTACCAGTAGAGCTATCTGTCAGACCTTGAAGTGACAAAAAATGTCCTTGTTATAACCTACCCCCAGGGTAGATCT